TCCAACATGTAACTTTTTTTTCTTAAATAGAAGTACTAGGGATTGAACCCAAGACGTCATGCATGCTAAGCACATACTGTACCACTGAGCTATGCCGTCCCCCAAATATAACTGTTTTTAAAGAATTTCTTCTGAAAGTAGATGTGCTGAACAAAAATCAAGAATATTTCTCATGACTCCTAATGTATAATGCTGTGAAGTTGCCTCCTCAAGGTGTTGTGTGATGATGTGTCTTTTGATCTGTGGACAGAGGACTCAGTTAACAGAAGTGGTGCAAGTCCTGTTTTAAGTGTGATCTCGAAAGTAAAATTTACTGTCAGTAATTCATTTAGGAGAGAGTGGCTTTTGAAAGAGAATGAATTAGTATTTTCTGAAAGAGTCACCCAATGCCAGTAATCAAGGTGGAACTCTTTGATTTGCTTTAGAAAGTTTACTCACTCATCTGATTTATCATTATCTTATTTCATTTTTTTAGACGCAGCTCCGAATCGATTCTTTCTTTAGATTAGCTCAGCAGGAGCATCAAGAGGCCAAGGGCATTAAGAGCCAGAGGCTGAACCGCGCTGTGACATGCATGCTGCGAAAAGAACGAGAGGCAGCAGCCAGTGAAATAGAAGCATTGTCTGTCGCCTTGGAGAGGGAGGCTGAGTCCCCTGATGGGGAGAAAGGGGAGACCCCGAAGAGAAGCTCGGCAGGTGGATGGAAAGAGGCATCCAGCCCCAAAAGAAAGAGGCTGCTGGGTTCTAAACGGGACAAGCCCTGCGGTGGGTTTCTGGGGGAGGCCTACCTCTCGCAGTCATCTGATGCGTCTTCAGGTGAGGACGGGGAAGCTTTCTCTTTGATGAATGCGCCCAGGGGCACAGCAGCCGGGGAGTCGGAAGTCGGCCCTTCAGAGGTGCGGGACCCGGGCCGGCTGGCCCCTGGGACCACCAGCAGCTCCAGTGAGGACGACGGAGAGCTGGCACCGCGCGTGCTGGTCACCGCCAGGTCTGTGTTTGGGAAGAAGAGGAGGAAACGCCGAAGTACGAGAGGAAGGAAGAGGACAAGCTGAACACACGTGTGTCCTGTGGAACTGCCCACAGCCTGACATTTCGTCATGAATTTGTTGTGAGGAAACGATAGAATTAAAAGTATTTGCACCATCTCTGCATTCGCCGTGTGGTTTTTAAAAATACGGACGCCAAACTTGACGATTATTTCTTCACATGTCACATTTTTTCTAGTGTCTTCCTCTTCATTGACTATTTCCTTGTAGTCACAGGCTCTGTCCATGTTTCTGTTATTAAAGCATTAAAAAGAGGAAAAAGGGTTTCAGTTGAATGATGCTCACTCAGTCGATAAGAAAGTCATTCTTAGTTCTCGCTCCACGTGGGCAGGTGCCCCCGACTCGTACAGGCCTGCCCCCCACCACTTCCCACTTGCCCTCGGGGTCCACTCAAAATACTAGTTGGGGAGACCTTCACTGTCACAGGTACCAGAAGAGTGTGTTTTCTGTGGTTTGAGCAAAACAAGTAGGAAGCCTACATGGGGTGTGTGGTTCCACCTGTCAGCACTGACCCTGTGTCCTGTGAGGTTTGGCTCTTAAAGTGCTCAGTTGTCGCCAGCTGACTTCTGTGCAAGCGGATGTGGAGGCTCAGGGCTGCAGTGGAACCAGTGTGGGCGTGGCTTCCAGGGGCTGCTCACCGTTAGCAGATGTTTCTTCAGCCAAGCTTAGTTGTCACTGCCCCTGCTGGACCCCTCGCGGAAACAACTCCCAAAGTCCTGGGTGCTGAGAGCGAAGATCAATCTGAGGATAGTTTTACCGGTTACTTTGAGCTCGGGTTCTGAGGCCTTGTAGGTACTCCCTTCCTGAGCCTGTGGCTTTGCTGGCCTCTTTGCTAGTTCAGCTCTACTCATTTCCTTCCCTCAGCCTTCAAATAGACGCACATCTTCACTGCAGAAACCCAAACACAAATGAACACTTTCCAACAATCCTTCACGGGGTGCTTTCTAAGGTTCTCGTTCACTACCTGCTCTCCAGCCCACCTCCTCAAATTCTTGGACTGCAACTGCTGCTTTCCTCCGCTCGCTGTTTATGCCTCCTAATTGAAAATATGCCTTCTGCTTCAGTCTTCTCCAGCAGCTTCTGACGTCGACTTCCACATAAATACACTCACTTTTTTAACGCTGCTTTTCTCTGGAGGCATTTAAAGCAGAAGCATTTTGGGTGGGGGGGGGTTTCATGTTATTCTCATTTCTCAAAGGTGCACCATGGGGAGTTTTCTGCATATGTGTTTGTAGGTAGAATAACAGTAGTTTTGCTAAAATTTAATTTTGTTGTCTTTCGTAGGTAATTCACATTTGTTCTGCACTGCAGTAGCTGGGGTGAAGCTGCTGTAGCCAAGAGATGTTCATATCCGATGGCCTGTGTTAGCCGGAACCCTGTCTCTTGCTCAGCGGTCTGGCCAGTGTGAGCTGCTAAGGCGTGTGCACCCTGAGAGATTCAGGGTCCCAGGTTCAGCATCCCCTAGGCTGCTGTGGTGCATGAACGGCCTGTACCAGGTCACCGCTGCATCTGCGTTGCAAGCTGCTGGAAGAGGAAAGAACCAAAGTGCTGGCCAAGCAGAAGGTCTTAAGTGAAGGGTGACTGGGAAAATCCCTTCTGCCCCCGTCCTGTTAAGCTGAACTGAGCATATTCCTCAGAGCATACTGGGAATACTCAGAAATGTAGTCTCTACCTGGGCTGTGTGCCCAGGAAGAAAAGAAAGATGGACATTCAGAACCACTGGTAGCTTATGCCATGAGTACAGTGTTTACAGAACAGTTTGATATTATACCCTTTTTCCCCCCTCTTTACCTAGATATACCCTACAAGGGAAGAGACAGTTTTAGAGATGTTAACTGGCTTTACCAAATTCACTCACCAGTAGGAAGACACTGACCTAAACCCGAGTCTTCTAATTCAAAGTTCCGGGTGCTGCTTTACCTACAAAATAGGTTGTCTGTTTCAGACAAACAGCAGCGAAGCAAATTCATGGTTATTTAAAGCAAGTTGGGATACCTGTAACTTACTTAGGATGGTGACCATTCTCTTTTGCTATAGAATTACCTTTCATCTTTTTAATCTTTTCATTACCTTTGTCTACATTTGCTGTTAAGCCTATACATTGAGCTCCTTATTTCATTTATTGTATTTTCAGTTCTGTTTGACTATTTTTACAGATTCCAGTTCTTTGGTGTAATTCTTGTCATCAGTTTTTATGTCTTAATCACGGTTACTTTAAAGTCTGTGTCAAACAACGCCAGTGTCAGATCACCTGCGGACTTGTTTCTATTGTCTGTTTCTTGGTGTGACTGGTAAGCTTTGCGTGAAGGCCAGACATTACGTTTAAAAAATTGTAGATGTCGTGCCTCTTCCTCTGGAGAGGATTCCAGAAGGTATTCTGGCAGGCAGCAGAGGGGAAGGTCACCTTACTTCAATTAGGACCAAACGCAATCAGGCTGGTTTGCAGTCTTTCTAAGACTCCATCTCCTGGTTCCCCCCCGCCCCGCCCTGCCCCATTCCTAAAAAGTAGTTTTCCAAGGATACCAACTGACTGCCAGGGTGTTTTTCTCTTTTAAGGTTTGTTCCGTTTTTAGCCACTTTCTGCTTGGAAAATTAGTGTCTTGCCCTAAACATCTTCCTGAATAGATACCGTAAGTGAAAAGTCAGTGCTGAGTGTCAGGCTTCCTTCTCTGTCCTTTCTTCCTGGGATCTTGGGCTCCAGGTCCTGGCTGCCTTTCCAGCTCAAACACTGTTCTGTTGTCTCTAGTTCTGTGAGGTTGCCAGGAGCTCTGCCGGTGCCCTTCTTGTGTCCTCTCTTTGGCTTCTAGCCTCTGTACAACAATGATAAACAAAAGCATGGAATTCTTGGCTGCCTTGGCAGCTGTCTGATGCCTTCTAACAGGTGGTGTGTGTGTATGTGTGTTTAAAATCTGCTTTTCTACTCAGAAGCGGGGGTCTGCTATAAGCTACTTATAGCTGGAGATAGAAATCTCTATGTACTTTTTTTTTTTAACAGTTCGGTATAACTGAAATAATCATTGTCATCATGTCGGTTTAGATGATTGATTTGAAGATTCTGCCTCTTAAGAAATCCAGCACTGAGGTTTCTTGCTCTTTGAAACACCTCGTGGGAAAAGACAGGTGATTTTTGTTCACCAAATGATTCTTTATTCTTGTTTTAAAAAGACCCCAAAAAGAGAGAATGTCCTCTGCCCAGAATTAACTGCCTATGAGTAATTATTTTCATTGTTTTGGATTTTGCAGTTTCCAGAATGTTTTTACCTACCATATTCATCTCACAAATGTATGTTGTATACCTTTTATACCTCTGTTTCATAAATGAGGAAGCCAGGAAACACACTAAGTAAATTCCTAAAATCACAAGCTAATTCTTGCAGGAATGACTAAAAGCAGGCGTGTCCTGTCCGGTAAGTTAACATGACCTCTGTTCATCATGGTCTGTGTACATTGGTGGTGTACATCATGGTGCATGGAGTGTTTCTTAGAAGAGGTACCCACATTGCTTGGTTTATTTCACTTTGCAATATTGCTTGATTTCACTGCCTGCGATAACTTCTTATTCAGGCTATTTTCAGTGACCAGGGAGATTTATTCATCCGCTGAGATGCAGCCCTCCACGCACACGAGCAGGTACACAGGCAACGTGTACCCTCCACCTTCCTATCCAGCCCAAGGAGGAAGGAATGGTGGTATTTTAAAAAAATATATTTTTATTGAAGTATAGCCAGTTTCCAATGTTGTGTCGGTCTCTGGTGTACAGCATAATGAAGCAAGCCAGACAGAGAAAGGAACGGTGGTATTTTAATTCCTGTGCTCAGAACTGCTGCATGCAAACACCCTGGTGTGGTCGTCTGATTCTAAAAACGATGTCCAGGACGCACCCAGACAGGTGACATGAGAAGCACGTGGGCTCCGTTGCAAGGACGTCACAGCTATGGACTCAAATAACTCTTGGCCGCGTCCTGGGATGGCTTTGCCTTACGGGTCTTCACTCCCTTGCAGGCGTGGTTTGTGCCCACCTGTTGGCTCTCGCTCTGTTCACAGGACACTTACGTGGAACCTGCCTCCTCACTGTCTTCAGCCCCCTTACTTACGGCCGTGCCAGCCGCCCTGCTGCACAGCCAGAGGCCCTGAAGCTGCAGCTGTCGGGACCCTGACCCCCGGAGGACTGGCTGCCAGTGTGTACAGTAGCGCGCCACAGGGCTTTGGTGCCCGACTTGCAGGCAGCAGCAGAGCTGTCATCAGCAAAGCAAAAGTGGTGGGTGATACTTTTTAACCTCCGAGAAACCCGGCTAACTCGCACATATAGGTACGTCCAGACTTAACATGTAGTGAGCGCTGGCCCTCAGGCCGCACGTGCCGTCATAAGACCACTTTCTTTAATGAAAGAGAAACTAAACTGGGGACGGAGCGGGTGACCACCGCTGCTTAGCCCTGCAACCTCCGGGACCTTATTTAACCTTTGACTTTCCTTGTTTGTAAACTGTAGGGGAAATAATTTGTCTTCTAATTTGCTGAGGCATATTGTAAAGAAAAATGAGGTGGCTGTGGAAAGTGTTTTGGGAGCCTTGGAAGAAAGGAGTGCTATATACATTCACGGTCGTACAGTGATTATTAAACGACCCCAGACGGAGATGAAGAACATAAAGTCTTTGTTTTCTGAAGTTAGAGCTGCAGCTCGCTTAAGCTTATTCGTGTGGTACACTCTGTGAGGCAGAACATACTTGAATGTCTTCCATTTTAAATATGTTTGCTGAGATGGTATGGAGTTTTAAAAACAGAAGTTATTCAAAAAACCATCTTGTGATTGCGCCATGTGACCTTAGGTACCTGCTAGAGACTCCTGGGTTAGAGCGAGTGAGCTTTGAATCTGTTGTTATGTAGGAAGCTTTGTTTCAGATGAATGCAGTGGTTTTTATTACACTGATTGAAACCAGCTTCCCCCCAATGTGCTCATCACTGCTAAGCGTTCGGGCTGCTCTGCGACTCCTCAGTGTGGAGACAGTGCCTTCCTCTGTGACAGCTGAGGTCCTGCCGAGGGTTGTTCTTTCTCCAGGAGCTTTCAACATTTCTGAGTGGATTTCGGTTTGTGCTAGACAGATTGTGTTTCGATGCTCTTTAAAATCATGACTTACTCATAAGATACTTTGATATAATTTTCTCTACTGTATTTGATGCTAAGCTTTATTACTAGGCAAATATGAAAGTGCTTAACACATTTTAAATTCATTATTATCATTTGATATTTTAATGTATTTTTGCCTAGTTTTCAAGGAATGATCAAGAAAACATCAATATGTAACCATCCATTAGTTCATCGCTTAATGGATGCAGAAGCTCAAAAAGGTAAATTATTTTGTTTATATAATTTGACCGAATCTAAGAAGACAAACAACCAGCAAGATAGAAACGCTCGCTTTTGCAGTATACACCAAGGTCTTCAAGAGAGCTGTCAGTTGCATATTGTATCTTGACCTGTTTGCTCACCTGTAAATATCTCTAATGTCTTTTGCTAGACCTATGGTCCTGATGATACATTAGAGATAATTTTGACAGATAGTAAGTTAAATACATAGACTTGCTAGGTATTTAGAGTTTCTTCAGTCTGCAAAAGTGGAATACATTTTTTCCCCAAGCACTAGACACTGAATACATGATTGTGTTATTTCTTTTCAGAAAGGAAGATTGCAAGAGAGATAACAATAGTTCTATGCAAAACTACAAATTTTTACAAATGCTTCCATGAAAGATGATTTTAGACATTCAAAACATTTCTGTATTTATGGTCCCTCTGATGTATTCATTAGAGTCAGATACACAATGTAATTTGACTTCTTGTCATAAGGGGAATTCAGGGCTGACTTCTCCTACCAGTGGAGTTGTTTGGAATTAACCCATTGTTTTTACATCATCCGAAATATCAAGTCTGACTTCGCATAGATTACATAACACGACTGTCCCCACTGTCTTGAGACAAGAAATGCAGACATATGTTCTTGACATAGACTAGCAGAATTATTACCATGTTTTTTGTAGAACAATTGTAGTGCAAATTTAATTATCTTGGCTTCTTTCTCTTCTTTATCTACACACTGTGGATAATTTCTAAGGACTATAGTCTTGTTTTCTTTTTCTTTTTTTTCCCCCTTTTTAGGCATACCAGGTGGCCTCTACCTAGGTGAGCATATCTTTAGGCCAAGGGAGCTGGGTGTATGCCCAGTGTTGGCAGCTACGTGGCTTAAACTGGAATGGTTTTACTGTAGCGATTTTTGCAAATCTAAACATTTAAAGTCGTAATCGCTTAGAGCATCCAGCCATTTAGATGATTGGAATGCAGATGCAATTTCTCTGCAGTTTATGAATAAAATTCATCATTATCATTACAATTAATAACAATGCTTGGTTTCAACTCTGCGTATGATAATTTGGCAAATTACAAAGGATATGGAAGAAGTTCAAGGTAAGGTGGAGACAGAACTAGTATTAAAATATTTTACAACATGAACAAACACAGCCCATTATCATCTGTATAGCCAACTGAAGCTTTAAAAATACCTTCACAGGCACGGTGCTAAGGGGATTAAGTGTGTGCTACTGGGACAGAGTCAGATGGCATTTCGTTGGAAAGGCTTCCACTGATAGAACACTCAGTTCTCAAGTACTGAAGGATACTGGCTTCCTGTCCTAACTCTTTTCTACTGAAGCGTCTTGTGCTTTAAAAGGAATGAGCAACATTTCTTCTATTTCAACATTGGCCCGAAGATCCAAGAATTACAGGATGTCAATTAGTTACACACAGATTAAAGTGAGGACTATGGTGGATGCTGAAAATTCCTCTGTCTATGATTCCTAATGCTGCATTGTTCTCTAAACTGTCTAGAACCTCATCTACATTAACTATCCCAACTATCTTAGGTTGCCTACTCTTGCCAATGGCTGCTCTCCAGCTGTTAGTACCTGTAGCTACATGTTAAAAAACAGAAAGTGCTCCTCAAGTCTGCAGCCTTGGCAGGGACATCCTAACCCAAGGCTCAGCGATTCGCGTGCACAGTGACTCCTAAATGTGCTCCCCCCAGCTACTTACTTGACACCCTTCATACTGCCTCGTGTTGGTTTGGTTCCCTTAAGAAGCAGATGCCAGAATGGAATGAAACATGCAAGAGACTTCTGGGGGGAAATGCTTGTGGAGGGTAAAGAGGGAAGGACCAGAAGTAGGCACGGAGAGCCTTCCGGTCACCATGCAGGTCTGACACCTGGGAAGGAGGAGAGAGAACAGGTCAGGTAGGAAGGGCCTCTGGCCGCAATACAGCCATGAGAAAGTGTCACCCAGCAAAACCTGCCCTCGGGACGAGCGTCCTCTGGAACGGGAATGGGCTGGCTTGGGAGGCAGCCCCAGGAGCAGCGTGGCTTCTGGGGTGCCAAAGGGGACCTGCGGCAGCTTCTCTTCATCCGAGCAGCCTCCCTCCACAGCCAGCGTGTCACACCACTGATAAATATGCAGTAAAAACTCATTTTCCTTTGCAGATTGGCCCCTCCACCGGTATTTTCTATCTCAGTTTATGGCAGCATCCTTTCTCCAGCTGCCCAGAAACCCGGAGCCACGCTAGTCTTTCCCCTTTCCTTACACCCTTCCTCATCTCATCCCACTGATTTTATCTCCTAATTTGTTTCTCTGCTCCCCACCCCCTGTTTGCAGCATCAAGTCTAATACTTCTTCTCTTGACGGTTGTTAACTGCCTTCTGACTGGCTGCCCCACCCTGGGCTGGCTCTCTTTCTTTATCTCCTCTGGTTCTTTTCCCAGAGCTGTATGATGTTTTCAGGAATTCAAATCTTATCACATTCTCCTTCGGCTTAAAATTCTTCAATGCCGCATTGTTTCCGATAGGATAAAATTAAGACTTGAAGTACAACATAAAGTGTTTTATCTCATGCTATGACCCCCGCTTATCCTCTGTTTGAGTTCTCAGGGTTTCCCAAATTGGAAAATTGGTCAGGTCTCTTGCCAGTGGACTTCTGCACGCGTCGGCACCTATGTATGGACTGTCCTGCCTTCTCTTCTTTGACTCACAGACCGAGAGTCACCAAGGCCCAGGTCATTCTTTCCTGAGTCCCTGGTGGCGTGGAGCTTTCTGTCTGTTTCTGAGCTGACTAGTGAAGCCTCCACCAGAGCACTTACATGTGGCTCTGTCTTTGTGTTCACAGTGTCCTGGGACTCTACACCTGAGGGAGTGAGTGAATTAGCTACATCCGAGGCCTAATGGCTGGACTGAAGCCTTGCTCATTAGGGGTGATCATGGGTTTCCGGTCACTAGTCAGTTGACTCCTTCCAGGACCAAGTATAATGCACGACTTAGGGATCGCATATGAAAATCTTTCACAAGGATCTTCACAAATATTTACAGAATTGGATTCATGGCGATTACGGCTTTTATAAGAACATTGCCTTATCATAGGAAGAAGAAAGTTTATTTGAGTCCTTCTGTTGCTGTTTAAGGAACATCAGACTGCAGTCTGAGTTAATATACGTCAACATACTGGTTGGAGTATTATAACACATGTAATTGCTAATGTGAGAAGCATTCATCAACACATTTTACACATTTAAAAAGTAACGTGAATAAGTATTTGCTACATAAGACTAATACGTTCCACATATTGAATGAAAAGAACTCTAAAATATAACAATCTGCCTTGGAGGTCTTCAAAACTCAGGGCTGAATGTCAAGGCTGCATGCCACTTGTCGCCCTTGAAGGGAGCTCTACCTCTGCTTCAAGGGCCCCCAGACTCACCCGTGGCCCCAAGACCCAGGGGGCCGCCTCACAGGAGACTCCTGAGTGTCTTTTGTGTAGATTATCGCTGGAGACTTCTAATCGCTTCCAATCCAGCCTCAGCGGCTGCTGCCGGAAGTCAATCCTCAAACAGCAAATTTGACTGTGTCAGTTCCATCCTGACGGTTTTTACTGGCTCCTGCTCACCTTGTAGAACAAAGGTTGACATGGCCCACGGGTCTGATCCCAACCTGCGTCTTCAGGTGTGTTGTCCCCGCTTCAAGGTCCTCCCTGGCCTGCCTCCGGCCAGCGGATGTCACCTCTCCCCTGACCTGGCTTCCTCCCTTCCTTGCCTGGTTCCCTGCCTGACACCTTCCTCCGCATCAGCTCACACGTCTCCTCCTCCAGATGCTTCTCCTGACTCAGCCAGGCCGTGTGCTTCCCATAGCAGCTTAGAAAATACTCTTTTACTGTGCTCAGCACACTTCATTGGCATTTGTTAAATTGTCTGTCCCCACTATGATCCCCACAGCAGACTTTGAGGACAACTAGATTGTGTTCTGTTTTTTTCTTTTTTTTTTCCCTTTTATATCCTGAGCCGTCTCCATAAAAAATGACTTTTCTTCCTTCGAGAAATGGAGTTATCATTTGGGCTACTTGATCAACGTTACAGCCTCAGTGTATTGGTGAAACTAAGCCAACATCCAGACTAAAAAACATCTGTGAAAATTTCCCAGGAATTAGTCTCAGTGTAAGGGCCTGAGACCTTGGCGTCGCTGAGGCCTTCAGAACCCTGGCTTTCAGGCTTGCCTGTGACCGTTCACTAATCTGGAAATATCTTTAACATCTTTTAAAAAGATTCTCTAGGTATTTCTAAGAAGCACATGACATTCATCTTTGAATAGATGATTCAGTTGAATGACAGTCTCTTTCATTTCGCTGAAGGGTTTTTACTTTAAATTTCGCTGACAGGTTTTCATGACAGCCCTCAGATGGAAGCTTAAATTCACTTGTCAGAGTTATTAAAGAATTTTTTTCTTTTCGTGTATTTCTGTGATCTGACCCTTCCATTTATTATTGCTGTTACTGACCTTAAAAGTATAAAAGAGAAGAATGTAGAGAGAACCTTTATTTTTGAAGGCTTGTTGCAATCCAGCCTTGAAAGTCAATTTGCTGTCGAATTTTCCTCTTAGGAAAATCATCATCATAATGTGGCAGAATCTTGCTAATTTTTACTTCATACTTGAAACGTGCTTAATTCTCAGGAGATCAAGGGCACCTGGTAGATTTTATTCGCTCTCAGCAAAGATTTAATAGCAGGAAAATGATGTTAAGGCTTTTTTTTGAATCATAAAGTATTAAAATAGATAAGCCTAAGATAGCAACATAATTGTAATGCTTTCTTGATTGTTTTATTTACAAGCTGTTTTAATATTTATATTTCAATATTAAATTCATTAATCAAATAATATCCTAAGATTATAGGAGATAGCTTTTATCTAAAGGTATAGATAACACAAGTTTTCTGCTTTTCATGTAGGGAAGCCAAGATTCAACATTTTGTGTAACATTTCCC